AAGCATAACGCATAAGCATAAGGAAATTGATTGGTCTATATATAAGCATAAGCAAATAGCATAAGGAAAACGGGAACCAATCAATTTCCTTATGCTTATGCGTTATGCTTTATGCAAAAGTCTGTGCTCCCGCCTTAACTATATTCAGCCAAGTATAAATATTATTGTTCGAGGACTCGGACCGAGATCTCGGATTGAGTTCTAGCATCGTGGACACAAGGCTTTATTGGATATTGGACATCGTACGTCAGAGATCGGACGCAGTGTGAATCCTCCACAAAACTTTTTTATGTGTAATGGCCTTTAGAACACAGCTTACGTATTATTATTGCGTATGCGTAAAAATCTGAATTGTGATCGCAATGCTAACAAGCTGACTTTTATTTTTCCTTTGATTTGTTTTCTTGCGCAGTTAGAGGTAGTTCAGGAATAAACATACAATTGAGGCTTTTGTGACCGCTTTACCACCAGCCTTCAAGGCATATTTGACATACGGACTCACCCGCTGGGCTGTTCCGGTCCAGGAGAACGGCGAAATGTCAATACGGACGGCAGTTCATCGTTTCGTGCAAAATGGTCGCGTTATATTGCGTTCATTGCGAAATAACGAGCGCTTCCACTCGAAAGGATACGCGAACAAACACTCCGACAAAATACACGTGCAGATAAGTAAGTTACATTTGATTTTATTATAAAAAAATGGAATATTTATGTAAAATTGCAACACGAATCTATGAACAGCGCTATACAATAACATTAATCTCACATTTTTCATTCGATAACGTATGTACTTATTTGATTTTTATAAAATGTCAAATTAATTAGCAACAAAAATTGAGCTTTGTGCATAAAATTATCAAATAAAATCCAAATTTGAAGATAATTCTATTGAATTATCTTAATTAATTGTCTTTAGATAAAAATGGTATAATTGCATTAACAAAGTCGTGAAAACTACAAAATAATCAAGATAATTTAGTGATTTTTAATGTCTTATATTGTAAAATATAATTATTTTATTTCCAATTTGTAATTATATTTTGCGAGGTGTCAATGATAGCAACTAATAGTTTTATATTTGTAGCAGGCGAGTCCCAGAGTGGTGGCTTTCTTTGTCAAAACAGTGGCAATGCATGGAACGCGGGATGGCAGCTTAGTTATTTGGGAACGCATGCTCGACGCATTTTTGTTGAAAATATCTTAAAGAGAGTAACCAACAGTCTTGCGGCAGATCTACGAAGACGTGCAGCTAGTAGGCTTGTTTTTGGTGATTCTGCTCCTTTCTTTGCTCTTGTTGGTGTGTCATTAGCATCGGGTACTGGAATGTTAACAAAGGATGATGAACTGGAAGGAGTATGCTGGGAAATCAGGGTAAATATTCGTTTATTTTGCATACTTGGATGAAGCCTGCTTATTTTAAGGTCTTAAGCATCAATGATACATATACTTTATTTTTAATAAATTTCAACTTAATAAAATTAATTATTTTTATAAAATACTATCGAAATTTTGATAGATCATTGCCAGATCATGCAGTAGTTATATATTTTAACAGTAGTATATTTTATCAATGTTTATTTGACATGTATACAAATGTTTTTATTATTATACTAGACATCTTCAATCTGTTTCTAAATTAGTTTGTTACAAAATTTGGTTTACAATTTATTGAATCACTTTTCAGTCTTACTAGCCTTAGACAGCATATAATAAATTGATAGCTCTCTATCATAAATGACTTGAGTCTTCAGTTTTTTAACCTTTAAAGCATTTTTATTTTTTTAAAGCATACTTATATTAAAGTACACTTACTGAATATTGATACATTCAACTTATTGCTCTATATTCTTTATTTGAATTTGTGTAAATTATTGTTTTCAATTTTCAATTATCGTTTTAAATTGTTGTTTTCAATTATTGTTTCTGTATAATATTTTAAATTTTTCTCCTATTCTTCCTCTTATTTATATAGAAACAATTACTGATTTTTTAAAAGATTTATTACATTATTTTGATAGATATACATAATAATACAGTCTATATTTTTTATATTTTTGTTAGGCATTATCGCTCTATAATTATTAAATTTTTTTACTAGTTTTCTTCCTATTTCTATATTTTTTCTTGTTTTATTATAGTAACGTATATTAAAGATTATCAAATATTTCAAATTTTCTTTTAATTTTTATTCATATTTTGATTTACTTTTGTTTAGATATTTATGATTAGATATATATATATATATATAATTATCACTGTCAACAATGATAGTAGAACTCATTTAAATTATTTTTTAAAATAAAATATATATGTATACTGAACAACACACAAAATTAAAGTATCATTTAACTTCTGCCAAAAAATTGTCGATTTTTAACTGTTATAACTTTGCGAAAAAGAATCGTACAATAATTTTTTTAGAGTCATTTTAAAGAACGAAGCCTTTACTTTCACAAATCGATTTTTCTCGAAGATGTTTTTGCATTAGAAAGCGAGGTGGAAAATGAATGACTCTGTGAAGTTGTTCTCAAATGCATGAATTTGAAGATTACAATTTTCCCTTTAAAACGAGTTGTTAAAAATTGCTCTGCGATTTTTTTTCACCGTTTTATTGCACATTTGGTGAAAGCATATATTTTGGACAATTTTTCCCGAAAATGTGAGGTGTGTCGCCGAGATTAGTATGGGATTATTTAACGATTCCAAACTCTCTTTACTGTGTGCGTGTATGCTTACATGCGTGTGTACGTATGTATGATGTATGTTAGAAGTATGTATTACCCTGTCGTTGGCTTATGACTTCTCGATACCGCTTTTGCATATTGATGCATCGATGGATCAATTCTTGAGGAATTCGCAGATACACTGCTACTGAATTCTTGGCCGTTTTTCATATCCTTCGAATCGTGAAATTCTCTGGCAGGCTTTTCTTGGTTTATAGGATTATGGTAGGAAATGCACTACACTTGGTTGAATGTTTTTTAATTAAATGAGTATATTATAAATAATTAATATTGGCGAGAAACACTTCTGATACGAAGAGAATACAAAGGCGCGATTTCCAAATACTTGATAGTGAACGCAGAGTTTTCTTTTCTCAAAAATCATTTTTAATAATAAAATGTTTTTATTTTTTAATAATTAAGAAATTAAATGAGTTACATTTTTATATATTGTGCAGGAAGCGATTTCAAAATTGCAATGGAACATGCCACAAAATGACAAAAACTATCAAACTATCTCAATCGATGACAACGCTGTGACTCTACGAGACTTTGTGATCGGGCCTATCATCGCCAAAGGCTGTTCAGCTGCTGTATACGCGGCACGATTTGCAAATACTACACAAAATGAAAATAATGGTCAGATTAATATTGATACTAAAACGAAGGATACAAATGCGTTTCCATTGGCCATAAAAATGATGTTTAATTACGATGCGGAATCTAACGCTGCTGCTATTTTGAGAGCTATGTATAGAGAGATCGTGCCCGCTAGAAAACATTACAAAAATGATGAGTTAACTACTTGGGAGCAAAAATTGATGGAAAATAAAGTGAAGCTACCACCCCATCCGAATATCGTGGCGATGTATTATGTTTTTGCTGACAGAATACCGATGCTACCTAATTCCTGGGGGATGTATCCTGATGCTTTACCAGTTAGAATTAATCCTCACGGATCAGGCAGGAATATGAGTTTATTTTTAGTGATGAAAAGGTTATTGTTAGCTGAGACAAAATTACGCTTACAATTTAATATGTTTTGCAATAATATATTATAGGATAATACATTTCAAACGTAATAGACAAATATCTTGAAAATAAGTCGTCGTAGAATTTTAAGACCAATTAAATTTCTAAATTCTAAATTTCTAAATTGCTTTAAATTCTATTTAGGGAGAAACATCTTACAATGAGCAGTTTTTTTAAAAATACTTTCAAGATTTTAAGATGATCTTCGTTGAAGAACCAGAAGACTTTTTTTATCTTCTTATTTGAAAAACCGATCTTAGGCACTAATACATTGTTAATTCTGTCCCTGAATGACAATTCTACTTTCCTGAAAGTTATTTTCAAGATATTTACCTGTTATGTTTGAAATGTATCATCATATATATTTTATTTATAATACTGATATTATAAAATGTATTATAAAATTGTAAGCAATTTTATATTAAATTTATAATATTTAATATTGCTAATACTTACGTATTCCATTGTTTTAGATATGATGTCACTTTGAAGCAATATGTAATGAATCGAAACATCGATATGCGAGTGTCAATATTATTATTTGCTCAACTCCTAGAAGCGGTAGCTCATATGAATGGGAATGGCATTGCGCACCGGTAAGATTGATTATGTTATTAACACTATTATATTGATGATTATATTATGAGATTCAACATCATTCTACAAGGAAAGGATTAAAGATTATAATTTTTTTTTAAATATTTAAAACTTTAAAATTTTTTTAATAAAAATCTTAAAAGAATAAAACAATGTATTACAAGTAAAAATTGATAATAATGGATTTAAAAAAAAATTATTTATTAGACACTTAAAATATCTATTTTGAATATTTCTGGATACTTTAATAACAGTGTAAATTTCTAAATATCTCAATAACTTAAATATTTAAATTTCAATAAAAAAGTAAGAGTCCTGACTTTATAGCGAGATTGATCTTACATTCTTCTTTTATGTTCACGAATTAGAGATCTGAAAAGTGACAACATCTTACTCGATTTGTCGGAAGAAACTGATAATTGCCCGTCGCTAGTTGTGACGGACTTCGGTTGTTGTTTGGCTGATAAAAGTCATGGATTATATCTACCTTACAACACTCACGATATCGATAAAGGTGGCAATGTCGCATTAATGGCACCAGAGGTAATATCGGTGAATCCGGGTCCCTTCACTAATATAAACTACACCAAAGCTGATCTTTGGACAGTAGGCACCATAGCATACGAGATATTTGGAATGCAAAATCCGTTTCACGGTGAAAAAGGCGAGAAAGCCGTTTTGAACAATTATGATTACACTGAAGGTGCGCTTCCCGTATTGCCGAAGAACCTACCGTCGATTATCAAGGCCATTATAAAAAACGCATTGTCGAAAAATCTTTCTAAGGTTTGTAAGCATGAGACAACAATCTGCTTGATTGTAAAACTGCGTTTTCGAAATTAGAATAATTATATCAAAGTATCTTTTCTTTCTAATGTGTAGCGACTCGATAGCAATCTGGCAGCAACTGTAATGCAACTACATCTGTGGGCGCCTAGCTCGTGGCTTAAAAACAAGGAACAGCTACCATCGAGTAACGAGGTAAGTTCTCGCGATTAGTTTAAATAATGTCAAAATATTTATGACGCATATATTATATATAATACCGGGTGATTCATTTTAATCTTAATAGGCAAATATTTCGAAAATGTGCAATTTTACAAAAAACTTCGCGTAAAAGTTGTATATTAGCCTTGTATATAGGCCTTGAGTAGACAAGATCAAATCAGGGTCACCATTGTACGTCCTCCTCTATAATATACAACTTTTATCCGGAGTTTTTTTTTGTAAAATTGCATATTTTCGAAATATTTGCTTGTTAAGATTAAAATGAATGACTTGGAATATACGTCATTTAAAAACAATCATTATTGTTATTAACATATAAGGTAAATCCATCTTATTGGCCGAGAGAATTCATTTGAGAGGTGTTTTTTTCCTTCATAGAAATTATTTTTGATAATAGGTGCTTTGATAAAAGGTGCTTTAATTTCTTAGGAGATTAATAAAACTAAATATACAAAATTTGATACAGGTATTGACTAATTTAAGTATATAATATGACACAGGTTATGCAGTGGCTTTTGTGCTTGACCACAAAAGTTCTTTGCGAGGGCCGGAATGTGGATTTATTTTCGTCGTTGCACAGGCCATCCACTGATATGAAATACGACACCGGAGACACGTACAAACGAACATTTTTCACACGTTCTTGCGGAAGATGCACAATGCCAGAATATCAATTAATCAGCAGCTTCCTTAGCAGAGTCACGCTCGCCAATGTTAGAAATGCTTTAAAATGGATACAACGAAACGCATACTAAAAAGGGTGATAGAGTATTTGTATATATAAGGGAAGAAAAGAAATGCAGTCTAAAGTTTTGTACGGAAAGTTATCCTCCTTCAACGAGTAACGATTTACAATAGCGTTATGTAACTCGAAAAATTAGACAATGTATTTGAGATTTTTTCCTACTATTTTTGTTATAATTTATTGCTATTGTTATTTACATATTTTAATTTCCAGCATTTTGTTTTGATACTTTAAGAAGCACAAAAGGGCAAAAAAGTAATTTTGACACACAGAAAAATATAATGCAAATAGAGATACTTTAAAATATTATGTGCATCCTTTTGTGATTCTGAGTGCCTTAAAGATTAAAAAAAATAATTGTAAATTATTTTATTTGTATGAATTTAATTTGTGTATCTCGTTTTATATTTATTTGGCGAACACTATTGTGGATGTTAGGTACAAAATGTGCAAACGAATATTATGTTATATCTAAATGTGTGTATCAAATGAAAACATTTGAAAGTGTTAAACTAGGCTGTGTTTTACCAAAACGGCTAAATCTCGAGTGCAAGTAGTGTTAAAATATGTCGTCCCGCAGTAATATTAGTTAAAAATTAAAAAAAATATATATTTTTAATTTATTTCCTATTTATATTCGTTTTATCGAATACGAATGCAAATAGTGCAAAACAAATGCAAATAGAATGATTGTATTTTCTGCCAAATTTCTGAAGAAATAATAAATTCAATAAACAATATTAACAATATCTGAATATAAATTTTAACACACCTGTCCTCAATAAAACTCTTACGATAATATAACATATAGTTCAAGAATAAACAACGACAAAAAAAGGATTTAAGATCTTTTTCTTTCTTCATTATATCCTGTTTTTGTGATTTTTCTATATATTTGTAATATCTTTTGCACTTTACATCCACGCTTCAAATTATAGTTTATTATCATTGTCTACTTTATGAATAATGTACACTGTGATGCAAAATAAAGTTTATAAATAATATACATATACTTATATATGTGTATTAGCGCATTCATTATTTATTTATTATTAACTCATAAACATTATAATTACTTATTTAACATTGCTTTGTATTTATACAATGAAAGATTTGTCGAATGTTTGCACTTATATTTTTAAAATTTAAATTGTATAACATAACTAAATCCTATATGTGAACCAAATATTCTCCGTACAATTTACGTACTCGTTTACGAAATTTAAAAAGTCTGTACTTGTAATCGTTAATTTAAGCAAATCTATAATACACAGGTTTGATTTCAACTTATGTTCTTTGTGAAAAAAAAAATAAAGCAATACATCCATCCGATGATATAAAGAATTCACGTTGTAATACTCTGCAACAATAATTTTTACAATTATAACTATAAAATAAATTTATAATCACATAAGTTATACATTTCATAATTGCAAATATTATTTTATACAATTATGTTTATTATCATAAGCTGCTAAAATGCGTATGAGATTGAACAAAAAGTACAAATAAATAATTCTAAAAATACCTACAAACATCTTTAACGGCGATTACAATACGATGCTATCAGAATTGGTAACAAAATCGAAGGCGCTGTCATAATTTAACATTGTGTTTTTAAATTCCTTTAATCGCATAATAGCACATTTATGCATTTTTAAATTCTTCCTCTTGTATCTTACTGCAGTAATCATTTTGTCCAGAATGTAGTGCAACCACAAAACATTCGTATATGGTTCGAATTTTTGCCAATTATTCCTGCACACATAATTGAAAAATCAATGTAAATAGTTTGGAAATAGCTAAATAAGAGAACAGGTAAACTTACTGGATTTTGTCGCGCATAAGACGATAAATTTCAAACTGGTATTCACCGTGTGCACTAAATAAAGCCGGATCCAGCGCGAGGTCATTGTATATACAGCATCCTTGATACAACATTCTTGACAAGGTGAAATCTATGATTGACATCTTAGGAAAAATTCATTCAGATTATACCGCGGATATGTCATTTCGAAAAAGAATATTGAATTATAAATTTTCGCAAAACGTAATATTCACTTTTCAGAATCGCTGTATTGAAATCTCTAGTTAAAATTTTCTTATTTAATATAACAAATTTAACACAACAAACGCAAATTAAATAATTATTTTATTTTCATGAAATTTTATTTCTATTCAATAAAAGCTTTTATGGTTTTGAATACGAATCTAATATCAATATTTTGAAATTTAATATATTATTTTCACATAAAATAAAAACATAAAATAAAATTTATTATATTTTAAAACTTTTATTTACACATGGCATTTAATTTAAGCATTAATAATTTAAAAAAATTTTTAATTAATATATAACAATCATATTTTAAATTTAATTTTAAATTTTAATTTTAAATTTTAAATTAAGGTAAAATATATATGAAATTTATATCTTAATTTTTAGCTTAAAGATCCCTAAAAAGTGGTTTTTATATATTATAAAATTATTTTCCAAATTTTAATTACTATATTAAGTTTAACATTCGAAACTTCAAAATTATATTTTTACTGTATATTTATATTGCCCCGAAAAACCCCGAATATACAATTCTTCCGTAAATTTAATTGTTTCTTCAAAACAAATTATTTTAGATAATATTCCGTAAACTTTCCGTATTAGATAAACGCCGTTTTTATTTTGTAACGCTTGAGAAATTAATAATATGAAGGGAATGATAAAATGCACCTTTACACCGTTGCTAGGAACTTTTATCTCTTTCCCGTTGAGATTGTAAAATATGTATGGCTCCTTCGTTCTCGATATCAAAATATTACCCCAATGTAGGTCTCTATGTTCAAATTCAAGCGCCTTTTCCGCAACCGCTAATGTTAATGCAATCTGTAAAAAAAAGATTAGATAAAAAAAGCAATCAAATAATATCATCGAAAAGTAAAATGAATGTAAACAACTGACTTGTAAAAATAAGGCACAGGCTTCCTTCGCGGTTTGAAAGACGAAAGCTTCGAGATCTTCTCCGCCATGACTGAGTTCAAGAGTGATGTACAACTGATTTTCACCGAACATTGACGGGCAATCGTTGTCGGACCTTTTGTCATCGTCGTAGACATTCCAGAGTTCTACAAGCTTTTTTGGATAACTTCCTATAATACATTTAATACTTTTGACTTCGACAAATCCGCTAGTTCTGTACATAGGATTTAATCTTAGATTATCCAATTCTCTGTAAACAAACAAATTCCCATTTTTTTTTCATAATCTTTGCTGGCATTAAAACAAATATTCATGTATACTTAATCGATCGACTCACTTAGCAATTACAATTTCTGACAGTATTTCATTGAATTTTTTCTGCCGCTCACCGTTCACCAACGTTTCACCTTCTATAGGAATAATTTTTATAACAGACTTTCTATTATTGTGTTCGTGGAGGAAGACTTCACCGTAAACACCTTCACCAATTTTACGACAATGATCTAAGAATCTGTTTATTTTTTTTAGAGAAGATTTAAGTAAATAGATTTTAATAACAGCATAAAGAGATTAATATTATAATATACACATTAAATTGCAAAATTATTAAGAAGGAATTTATAGATAGATCAAGACATTTTGAAAAAATTTTTCATTACTTTCATTAAATCTTTTCCTTTCTTAAATTTTTTTAATACACACTACTTCACAAAAAATAGAAAACATTTTTAGACGTTCAAAATTAAGCAATTTTAAAACTGCTAAAATTCGGCGAAAAATTATTGCAAACAAAAAATTAAAAAAGTATTTTAAAGCTTGAAACTTGTACTTTTACAAGCTTTAGGTTGTTTTTTGAAAACTTTTTATCTTCAGTTTAGTTTTAAGCCCGAAAAAAGAAGATATTGTTTTATGCTTAAAATTACACATTTTCAACACTGTAAAGCTCGATAAAAAAATTTTCCCCGCAAAATTTATGACAAATGTCAAAAAACTACAATATATATTCTACAAAATGCGTTGTTTTAAATTTTGCGACGATTTTTTTTGCCCGAGTTATG